CTCATTTTCCTTTTTGCTAAGATTCGAACCCAAAGATTTGTTGTTAAAATTAACGTTATGAGTAATTAGGTGGCGGATTGTATCCTTCTGCGTTTCCGAAATTTTGGAGAATTTAAAGGCTTTCTCTATAGGAGCGATGATTTGAGGAATTGAAGGTTTAGATGTCTTTGAAAAAATGAAATTATATTTTAATACTTTTAACTGATCCTCCGAAAGATTCCTATTGGAGATATTAACGATGGGGTTAACGTTTACAGTGGGAAGATCAGCTAGAGAGATGGGACTATCCGACTGGTGTGTGAATTTAAGGAATTTAGAAATAAGCACATTTTTATGCCGTTGACAAACGGTATCGGTTCTAGACCAGGATGTATGTTCAAATGAGGAAACATTTTCAGTTGAATTAGCAATTTTTAAATGGAGGTAATATAATTCAAATTCAATTTTAGATAAACGTTTCCGCGTGTCCCTTATAATATGACGAAGAAGTGCCAATTTGAATTTATGCAAAATTTTTGAAACGTGAACGGAAGCTTTAAGGCTACATTTCCACATGTATAAATTTGGGAATGATATTTTGATGTTTGCATTTAAGTAGAAACTGTAGATGATTCAAGAATTTCGTACGCTTAAGGCGTAACTTACAAAATCGGTTCATGTCAGTCGTAATAGATGGCATTACCTCCTCGCGTTTGGTATTACCAGAGGGTATACAAATCCGTTCAGTGGTTGCTTTCCATTATTTGAAGTTCAGATTGTGAGCGTGAAGGTGCATTTGCCCCTCGCTCCCCATTTTAACTTCGCTAATTTTTCTTGTCCTTTTTGCTTGATCAGATAGCCTGGCTCAGTAAAAGTAGGCGGCCAATGCAACTCTGATTAAAAATCCAGTTATAACCACGTGCAGTGCTGGTAAGGACTACGTGTTTCTGAGACTCCTTCTCCTTTATTTCCTTCTTTCTATGTATTTATTTCTCCTGATGAGGAGGGACCTTTAGCTGCCCTCGAAATCAATTGAGTGTTTCATTATACTTACGCTAAATACAAGGTTGTTTTACGGTTTTGATTAATGATGATTTATTAAGGATGTTAGAAACGAAGTTTCTGTTTTCATCAACAGACACTTCAAGCATCCTTCTAAACTTAGAATTACAGTAATAAAATGACACTAAGTCGATTAATAGGAAAATCAATTGCAGAGTTTGCAACTTTCCGAGACATAACTCATGTTAAGTACAGCTTAGACGTATATCGTGATAGTGATTTTTCTGACTATCGAATCGGAATAGTAGAATTAAAATCCATGCCACTGTTAAGAAGGAATTTTTCTTCCATCTAATCAAACGCAACTTGTAGGATTTACTCCAGACTTCCAAGACATTCTTAACAGGACGGTGGACTTCAAAATAGCTAAAAATCAACCAAAATATTGATTTTTTTTTTTTTTTTTTTTTTTTTTTTTTACACTTGCAATATTCCACATACGTAACTACATCATATCCAAAAAGAGTTCAAATATTCTAATATTTAAAGAAGTTACAAGAATTTAAAATGTGTAAACATCGTAAACTTTGTCCTCTAAATTTTGGAAAAAATGTAAAATAATGTCTTTCAACAGTTATTTACTGATGTTATAATTTATATATTTGACTAAAAGAAATGTTTATTTCTTAAAAAAGGCTAGAAATGTCATTATTGGCAACTATTAATGAATTTAACTTTGGTTAGGTAAATATTATAGGCATAGAACAGGGGGAAGCCAACTCGTCGCAAAAAGCGTGATCAACGTCGCTTGAACCAAAGCAAAAAGATAAGTTTACCTGCTTGGAAAAAAAAAAGAAATAGTAAATAATATTGTAAAGCATTAAAAAATAATGTAAATGTAACAAATAAAGGTAAAACATATGATGCGGGTGAATTTTAAAAGTTTCATTGGATATAATGCATAAATTGTTTCTATATCTAACTTCGAGTCACATACCAATTTGCAATATGCTATTTTTCTCAAATTTAATATTATGAGATTAAAAATATTTAAATGATGCAAAAATGTTATCCAGTGTCTATACATTCATATTTAAAGTCAATTTGCTGTTTCTCATGATCATGTATTAAAGGTAAGTTTGAAGAAAAACTTTAAATTCGGTTTTCTCAAGAGAAATTTTTTTGCTTCGTTGTCTTCGTTGTCTTCGTTGTCTCAAGAGAAATTATTTTGCTTCGTTCGTATGTCTTGAAAATGCTGCATGTGCCTCTCTCATTTTTAGTTAAAAATGAATGATATTTGGAAGAAACTATCTTTTTATATGTTACAGTAGATCTGTGTGTGCATTTTTGGATATGAGGTTATTAAGAAGTTTAAACTTGTGATAATGTTTAACAAGAGGTGATTTTTTTCCAAAAACTGGGTTTAAATTCACAAAAATCCTTTTTAAAAATTTCTGATCCATCATATTCAATAAAGGAATTAGCGCGCAAGAAGCATTTTTAAATCTTTATTTAAAATAATTAATTATTTGTTTAATTTTTTTTAATTTTAAATAAATTGAAATTTTGAACATATATTTTATAAACTGATGTTATAATATGCATATGCATAAAATTTCTTGTTGAAAACACAAAAACTTAAAAAACTATTTTTTAAAGTCCAACGTCTCTTAATACCTTGTGATGCTTAAGTCTGTTAGCTGGACTCTAAATGAAGCTGAGACTCTGGTATTGCTATGCAACTGAAGCTTACCGCTGCCTGAACATTGAGCATTAACAGAAATCAGAACTGCTTAATGTAGCCAAATTTTGCAACAAAAATCTTCACTAAATACTGAATTCCATGAATTCACTGCGCATTTTCAATATGAAATTGAAAGACACTTGAATTGGTAGCGCCTGAAATAGTGAGATATATATCGTCACAACCAGTATTTGATGACTGGTCTCTTCTTCTACAACACCCTTTAAGGGGGTGAGAATGTAAGAAATTTTTACCATCCTTTCTCCGTGCCTTCATGGTACAACTAAAAAGTACAACTGACTAACAATCGAAAAATCTACAGTTGCGTCCCGATAAGGCCATTGCTAATTTTAATTGTTTCTTGCTTCGATAAAACTACTGATTCTGAAAACTGAGAAGTATTTATTTCAGGTAATTAATTTTGATTTGAGAGGCATTATCTTCTGTTGTATCTTTCTGTCGCACCAAGATCTCCTAAATGATACGGCACATACACCTGAAATAGGAGCAGGCTAGTTTCAGCTTAACAGTTTTTGATTTGAACAGTATATGCGAGTGTGATCAAGGATTCGTAAACACGACGAAATAAGTTTAAATTGTAAAGATTTGAGTTTAAATAAGTTAAATATTTGAATTGCGCTTATAACTGAAAAGTAGATAGTTTAAAGCAGTAGACTCAGTCTAAGTGACATATGCTTATACTGAACATTTTTATCAAATTTTATAAGAACTTAAAGTTTCCAGAACCATATGTCGGAGAATAAATGCAATACAAAAAACTGAATAAATTTACTTAACTTTTATTTTACATAATGAAACCGCTTACAGATGAAAACATCGCAGAGAAAACAATGCAACAATGTCATACAAAACATCGTGGGAGAAAAAAGAAGCATCTCAGTTCTAATAAAATATCTTCGTCGAAAAAAAGCGGCTCAAAAGCATAGTCGTAAAAAGTACCGTGGACAAAAATAAAGCACATAAAAATCATCGCAGGACGATAACATCGAAAATATATATTTTTCAAGATTTAAAATAGTAAATATATATTCGAATAATTATTTGTGAGCGCAAGACAGAACGAGAAATACTTCTATACTCATTCATATTCATATTTGGGTTTATTTTTGTTAGTAAACAAAGCAAGAAGAAAACGCATGATTTCAGAAACTGAAAATGAGGAGAAAATTACTCCTACATATACCAGTTATAGGATTGTAAATTTTTATACTTAACTACTAAAAGTCTTTATTTAATTTAATTTCCTTTATGAAGTTATAAGGATAGTTTTTCATGAAAAATATAGTCTAAAAAATTAGAAAATGGAAGACAAGTAACTGCATAAGTTTACCTATATTAATTTTTTTGCATTAAATTATCAAATTATGAAACTATTTTCTATCATTTTGTTTACCTGATATTCTTTTAGTAAAATTAAATCTTTTTTTTTGTTTCAGTTGGTTAAATAATTTTAATGTAGGTAATTTCGTGCAGTAAACAATGATTTTGATAGTTAATTACATAAATTTAAAATTTTCTTAACCGCCATATGTAAGAATAATTTTCTACTCATTTTCAGTTCCTGAATGCTTAAGATTCATTTTATGCCTTCTAGCAAACTATTATAAATTAATCCAAAAATATGAAATATTAGACGTAAAAATATTCCTCATTCCTTCTTGCGCTCACAAAGTGTTACACGAATATGCATTTACAACTTTTACAACCTGAAAAACATACTGTCTGTAATGTTATCGTCCTGACATGATTTGTAGTTGCTTTATTTTATAACACGATAATTTTTACGATGGTATTTTGAAACTGTGATTTTCAACACCTTTATATTCGAAGTCGATGTTTTATACTCCGATGTTTTAGAATCATAATGCTTTCTCTTTGCTTTCTTTTCTCCCACGATGTTTTTTCCTTGCGTTGTTTTTCGGTGACATTTCTGTGTTGTAATATCTTTGCTGCGATGTTTGATGTTTTCGGCGGACACATAAAAAGCGAAATTAATTTTTTACTTCTCTAACTTTATCTCCATTTTAAGCTTCTAGGTTAAACGTAAAATACAATAAATCTTTCGACAAATTGCAACTTTAACTTGATTTTAATATCCGTGCTTTTGACTAACATAAAATAATAAGTAGAAATGTCAAATTGATACATGAACCATTCTTCGCGAGGATAATGCCTGCCGCGGATTCTTTGTTAAGTATATACGGAATGAATTTTATATCTCTTATAAAGAAATAACATTGGATTGTTAACTAACCTGACTAGCAAAATGAGAGAATTCATGTGCTGCTGTAGCTCCTCTAGCATCTAAGGTATAGATGGGATTGGGAGTATCATTCCTGTACATCAGCACCGTCGAAAAGGAATCATCCGGGGAAGGGGCGTTGAGGTTACAAGGAATAGATATTGTACTGCCAATCACAGCATATATTTCTGGGTAATCTGCATGGAAGAAAATAAGATTTATTAAACATGTGGGCAGTTTATACTGCATTAAAATAAAAATTTAAGATCTTAGTTTCACTCAAAATACGAAAATTGGTATATATCAGTATCCAGTTCGGAAAAAATAAACTAAATGTCTAAGTGATGTGCAACTTTTTAAATAATATACCAATGACATATAAACCCATTTGTTCGAATTAGAGGAGGTTTGGTTTGGTTTATTTAATTATGGCAAAGCACACTAGGGCTATCTGTCTAAGGGGAGGAATGCCTTCGTAGATGACTTTCTAAGGGAACCTGGCACGTATACACGTTACACATGGAGAAAACCACGAAAACGCCCATGCAGCCCGCCCGTTCGCGAGATTCGAACCTCGGACCGAACTACCAGTGTTCAGCGACTTTACCGCTCGGCCGCCGAATTAGAGAAGGAGAAACTACTTCGGATAATAATTTTTCTGAATAATCCATACTCAAAGCCATATACACTCCTCCCCAAAAACGTTTCAGTTTTTTGTACATTGGTTTAAACAATAATATTATCTTTTATCGTATTTTAGATTGACTAATCTTGAATATTTTTATATTTAACATTACTTCTATTTAAACTACATAAAGAATAATTTGTATGTGTAGTTTTAAAACATTTTAAATTTTTATTGCAATTATATCTTTTAGGATATTAAACCACATTTCCAATGACAAAGTTATGAGGTATTTTATCCTTTCTTTCCGTTTGTGGTGTAACTAAAATCATGCTCGACCAGTTTTCCGGGGACCCCTAGTTCGAATCCCGGAGAGGGCACGGCGGATTTCTTCAGTTTCCTGACATAGAAAAATTCTAAAGGACTGTAAAATATTAAAAAAATTACGCGTTGGGAATTAATAGTACTGTAATTTAGATTCAGAGTATTTAAAATTGTATAACATGAAACAGCATCAACTTGAAATCACTTCATATCTGAGAAATGACCCTAATATTTCAGTTTCAGATCTCCCTCTTTCGAGTATTGTAAATATGCGTGATTGATCAATAAGAATTTTCTCACAAAGTGTTCATAAATTCTGCTACTGCTAGTTATCCCACATTGTTTCTTATGATTTCGGAGATAGAAATGCTAACGTCCAAAAGTTACCGACTACTTCCATCTCATAGATGGTTATGGTAGAAATGCTGAGATCGAGATATTCCAGATGGAAGTGTTGGAAGTGGAAGTATTTAAGTTTGCTGTCGAGGTCAAAGTAATAGGTCATATTTAATAATTATTCAAAATTCGTCGGCAGTTACCTTTTTAGTTAAAGCCAGAATCATACATTCGCTAATTTTCAGCATTACATATTATCAACACTACGAGTATTATACAACAATAACTCATCTTCATAACTTTTGCTAACTTAATCAAAACTTACTTGAGCATAAGACTTATTGTATACCTTATGTGTCTACAGATATAGTTTCACAATTGTTTATTATTCGCTATTATGCTAATAAAATATAAACAGAAATTACAAATTTTATGTGCAAAAGAAGAAACTAAATGATAGGATAAATCTCTGTATAGTCTTCCAACGTCATTCTTCTGCACAGATAAAAATTTCAAGAAAAAATATTCACTTGAATTTGTTTAGATTAATTTAATGAATACAACTGAAATAGCAAATATTATACATGAAGAAAAGAAATTTCAGACTGAATTTAATATTAGAAACACATAATAGAAATCACGATGCTTTTATAAAAATTCAATTTATAAAGTTCACAAAGTTTACATAAGAAGAAATTTAACTTGCATAGTCTTTTGTTACGTTTTAATATTCTGATCTTTAGAATGTTTGCCAACATTTTTCTTTGCCATAAGGCTTTCACAATAATTCAATTTTCATTCATACAATTATTATTCACATCATGCAATTATTAGTTGCATATGCGCTTTTGTTAACAAATAAAATTATATTAAGCAAAATAAAACATTCTTTCACAATATTCAATCTTTAAAAGAAAAAAAGGAATATGCATATAAAATGCTCTTTCTGTTCATAGAAGTAAAAGAAGAGTAGTATTAAATTTATCCTTTTTCCAGTATTTGTAAGTTTTTTCCCAGCAAAAGCAGCGGGGTACAAGAAATCGTATTCCACCATGAACTTTTTTGAGCACAACTGACGTAAGAAAAATATTAACGTCTTTCTATATAGTTTCGTCTTTCCCTAATCAGCTTTCATCTTCTTACCATTGCAAAAAGAGTGGGGCTGCTTTAACTCGACTTATACATATATCAAGAATCTCAGTTTTCCCTATCATTTTTTCTTCTTTCGAAGTTCATTAAAATTAAGCATTTTGTTAGCTTGTTTACGATTTCTTAACTTACTGTTGATTTAAATGAAGTTTTACAACTGAATAGAGTAATTATTATAAGCTATAAGTGTAAAATTTTAACATCATAGTATTTACTATAATACTAATTTAATTATTTTTTATCCCCCAAAAATAATTTTCTAATTGAATTTTATTGAGTATAAATAGATTATGAGTGCTAATATAAAGACAAGATTTCTTTTTAAGGTGTACATAAATAAAAATTAATTTAATTGATTTTTCGGAGTAGAAACTGAATGCTTTTTAGGCAAATGACAAGTTCTCGGTCTTTCTTTATATTTTAAATCTTCTTACTTATTTAACTGGAAATAAAACATTTAATTTAGGTAAAAATGCATTCTTGGTTTAGTATAAATTTTGAATTAAACTCTGTTTATTTCGAGGGTAGACGAACACGGGTACCTCTCCTTCAGAAGCAAAAACATGTTGCAATTTTCGCTAACTTCCTATAGCTATTTTTAAATCTTTCTATAGACTTTATTAATATTAATTATTCATTTATAGTGGAAGGGATTTGAAATCATCAAAGTTTCTATCAGCAGTAAAAAGCCATCTATCCATATATTTACTATAACTATTCTCTAAACTGCTTTTTTACTTCAGATATTTTATATCAAACTTTAAAGTTAAAATACTTCAATACATTATCAGTTCACTAAAGTGTATTTCGGGCTTCTGTAAGGTAGGTAAGACAGTTTGACTATAATTTCTCAAGACTGATTGTTACATTCATGCAGACAATTATTAAAATTATATTTTAAAGAATTAGTTTTACAATAAATTAATCAAACTTCTACAATATTTAAATAATGTTATGCTATGAATTCTTCAGCCTTAATAACCAGATATTTGCTGTAAGGAAATCAAGTGGTCCATCGACCTCTGACCTAGAATATTACCTAGAGTACATTAGAGTAAACTAAAAATGAATATTACTATTGTCAAGAATGCAATAAAGTTCAGACCAAATTCCTTCACCGGAAGAACACCCAGGTACAAAAGAACTTTAAGCGGCAGTCGAACCGACACTCCTGTTCTAGGTCCAGTAGTCAGCCTCCGCTTAATCAATGCATCGACCAGGGCAGCATATTATGAAATGTTAAGCATTTTAATAACATTTTCTCAAATACGTAAGCGAAGCACTGTTACACTGGTATTGCTCCGCTAGTATTCTGTGTAAGCTTTGCCGTGGTACTACTTTGGTATTGTGCACACTATTTTCATGTATTTGCGCTTATCAAGACTAGTATGATGGATATTTAAAAAAAATATGCTACATAGTAAAGTGATCCTAATATTTATATTTTCAATTCAACGAGTAAATTGTCTACTAATCTTGTTATAACTATTAATTACGATATAATGAAATTCCCGTTTACTACTTTTAGTATTTCTAAAACAACGTTGAGTAAAAACGTCGACAGATCATACTTATCAAACTAATTTTAACGCAGAACATATAAGTATGTATACATGCCTCTAACAGGTAAATTTCTAATGTTTATAGCTTTCTCTGATTAATTCTTTGATGTAAAGCCATGTGTTTAATAATTCGTAAAATAACTAGATCTTCTGCTTGAATGAAACCTTCGTCTAAGAGTAGACACGCTGTATTTAAATTACTATTCCAAGTCCTGTTGGCAAAATTCAATACAGTGTACATTCAATACAGTGTACATTTAAACATTGATATTAAGCCTCTCCAAGGAGGCTTAAAGTGATGAAATGTATAACTAGCATTTCTGAGATATGGAATCTGAATGTGCACAATATACGGGAATAAAATTAGAGTAGCGCCGAGTTAATATTAGCTATATGGCCTTTATAGACATAAATGGTTAAATTTTGAGCGACAAGGATTTCGGTTTCAGTAGTTCCGTAATTTGTTAAATAAATATGCTCATTTATTTAATTGGCTACTTGAATTTAGACTCTTGAATTTGGAAATAAAAGCAGTTTGGAGGGTTAGAGATAATTTATTATTCTGAAACTAATAAAAAAGAAAGAAAACTAGTTTATTTTTTACACTAGGGGACTACGAAATGTGCATTATATTACGGATTATCTACTAAAAGAAATAAAATATTTTATTTTTTATTACAGATTAACTATTAGTTAGTTTCTAGAAAAAATGCAATTACCGTCAGAAGATCGACGATTTACCCTTAGCCTTATACAGTACGTAACAGTTATTCTTCAAAGTATCTTGTAACTGCAAGAGGCTTTGGAAAATAATTCTAATATTGCAAAATCATAATACTCTAAGTTTGCAAAACGTATAGAAGTGATTTAATGCTACAAAATCGGTGATCTGAAAAGCAAATTTGTGCAACTGTAATTCTTCAACTTATGGATAGAGGAAAGAAAATTCTGACTTTTTAGCTAAAGCTCAGATTTTACTGGAAGTTCCGATACTAAAGTTCCAGGTTGTTTTGTTTCACTTCCATGCATTGATTTCTGCTGCTTATCCGTTAAGAAAATTTCCACCACAATCCCAAATGTCAAAAAGTGCAAATAAGTTTCAAGTTGCTAAGTTTGCAGAGAGTTTTTGGCAGCATTAGCTAGCCGTCGCCATACTTTCTTTTGCTTTAATAGAGGACAAAATCTGTTATCTTCAAACAAC